TTTTTTTTTTTAATTTTTTTTAAAACAGGAACTTCAGAAGGATATTAAGAAGAAGAAGGAGCAAGGAAACGAGCCACGTGACGTGTTACCAGGCTTGCAGGTCGTTCGAGATATTTATAACTTGCCTCGCATTCCTGTTGATTCAGAAGGTGGATGTCTCTGCTATTACTGTGAAAAGCACATCAAGAGAGCTCAACGGGAAAAGTTTTTCAAAATGCCCAGGTACGTTTTTATTTTCTTATTTTATCATAATTTTTTATTTCAAATTTCTATATAGCAATTAAATTCGGTTGGCATAAAATCTAAATGTAAATTCAAACATAAAGTTGAAGCCTCAAACAAACGTCGTCAGTCTGCGACTCCTAGCAATACCAACCGTTCAGAATTAAAAGAAAAAACTTACTTATAATATTATTACGGTAACTGGAAATGAACAACTTTAATCTATAATGTTTGTAAAAAAAAAATAGAGCTCTAAACTCACGTTGCTCGAAAAGTCGAGTTTTAAAATCTCCTTGAAAGGCTACTCTCTGAGATTATGGCTGTATGTTTGTTCTGTTTCCTCACCAGTAAGTTGTTCTCCTTCAAATCGAAATCTTCGGCCAGGGAAGCCCCATCAGACTCAAAGAGTTCTTCCACAAGCTCTGCTGCAAAGATAAGGGTGTTGAATCACAAGGACTACAAAACATGGAAGGTACAAGTTGCAAATACTTATTCCTGAACACGCCCTTTAGGCACCTTTTGGTGACAAATATAAAATCAGGAGGACTTTGATCAAACCATAATTTAACGGTTCGTTTTAAAGAGTATACCCATAGCGAGGTCAACGGAAGCTTAAAAACTCCCTTAAGCGCGCTAGAAAGGTACGATTCAAGGGGTGCGGAAAAACCTCTATGCGAGTATCCGGGACAAAAAGAAATCTGATTCAGATATTAGCAAACTTTGGCATGACCACTAGTTAAGCAAAAAGCTTATTTCTGACAGCCAACAACTACAGACTTAAAATGAATACAAAACTTAAATACATTAGGTAATAACCGCCTTATCAAAATTCAACCAAATGTCTGGTCTTATCAGGTCAGCGGCTTGATATCGCAGGAAATCATGATCAGGACAGTGCAATCTTAAGTAAATCATCTTGCTTTAACATTTTTAAACTTTCTACCCATGAAAATGACTTAAACGCATTTTAAAGTGAAAATTAGTGACCTTGGTTGCTAGCCTGCGTAGCTGGCGAAATTTTGCGCACGAGAACTTTGTTTCCCGCACGGACTCGGGTAACCGATAATTTACGCCCACTGATAGTGGTTGAAACTCAAATCACGTCCTCATAGACACTTTTGTTTAAAAAAGGAACTTCAGAAGGATATTAAGATGAAGAAGGCGCAAGGAATCAAGCCACGTGACGTGTTACCAGGCTTGCAGGTCATTCAAGATGTTTATAATTTGCCTCGCATTCCTGTTGATTCGGAAGGTGGATGTCTCTGCTATTACTGTGAAAAACACATCAAGAGAGCCCGACGGGGGAAGTTTATCAAAATGCCCAGGTACTTTTGTGAAATAATTTTTTGTTATAAACGTTCGTAGTGATTTATGTTCAGTTACCATAAGGCTTTAAAGTCAAGCATAAAGTTTAGTCAGAAATAGGGATCGATTTTGGTCATTTTAGTCTCAAATAGGGTATGGTTTATGCACCCTAGTCTTGAGCTGGGTACGCTCTTTTAGAAGTTACCCTACCTAGGGAACTACTTATAAGGTAGGTCTGAAACAGGGTATTGTTAGGTTTTAAACGGCTAGAGTATCGAATCAATTTTTAGTCAGGTCCTAAATGGGGTAGAAAAAATTTAAGATTTCGGTCCTAAATACGGTAAGGGTTTTGGGAAGCGCGCTACACACGCCTACAAATTTTTTGGGATACCCCCCCTCCCTCCCTTTCCCCTGGAGGTTTACCTAGCTAATTTCAGTTTGCTAGACTGTAGCTCTTTTTAAAGCAGGTTTATTGACTGGCTGTTATGTTTTCCTTTTTTTTCTTCAGATTTGACCGCTAAATGACCTGTGCTTGATATTCGAGGACAGTTAGATATTCTTGTTAAATGGACGGTTATCTTTATCGACAAAGAGTATTTTCATATTTCACCATCTATTTTTTGTGAAAAACGTTTCGTCTAAACAATGTAAATGTAAATAATAACGGGAACATGAAATATAGATACTTTCCACTGCATGGAAAAGTATCCAATAATAAATGTTGTTTTTTTTCCTGAGGAAAACGATGTGTTTTAGATATTTTTGGCCTGGAATGCATGATCCGCTATTGTTATATGGCTGTGTCTCACAAGGACTGGGAACTACCGAATTCACGAATTTGATTGGCTGAAATCGATATTGACCGCGGTCTAGATTTTCCCAT